CTACATAACTTCAAGTATATTTTTAATACTTATTGTATATTGAGAGATATAAAAGAAAATGAAATGAATACCCTAATCAACCACTTCGTAGTTCTATTTCAACTTTTTGATACTATTATTGCACAATTTTCATTATTTCTCATCTTTATTTAGAGTATTATATGTTGTTTATTTGTCATTTTCATTTGCCTTAGACTAATTTGATTGTAGAATAATACGTATAACATTAAATAATTGAATTTCTCATATTATACACATATACAAATGCGTGAAAAAGACTTATCAATAGATATTCTCTAACACATACTCAGTCATTTTTTTTTTTGTGTACTTTATTCAGATAATAGGGAAATAATTTTAACTGTCCCAAAGAGGTACAGGTGTTATACGATATTACTAGATCTTAACTGAATATAGCCTCACAGAGCAATTGTCATATTAAGTTATATGTTATCAGTTCAGTAACAACATTTTTTTGATTGTCTATGCTCTAATATTATTCGATCGACACTGTTTAGAAGAAGAAAAAAAAGTTGAATTGAATGCATCCTACGTATTTTAACGCTGTGTTCATATATGTCATGTGAACAGTGAAATTTAAATATGATCGTACAATCTAGTGTAAAATTATTCCTATCGAATAAAAAAAAAAATATAATATTTACAAATCAATCGTACATTTTATTCTATAGACATATATCATCACCGACTATCAGTGGCTTAAGTAAACAGTGGAATGCAAAAAAACAACATTAAACTTCTGTGGTTAGATACAATATTCATTCTTTCTTTTCTCTTTCTCTCTCTCTCTCTGTCTCATTATTAAGGTTTCTATTGTTATCCTTCATTATTATTCAACAACAATAAAGAAGTGCCAATATAATATAAGCCCGTAATTTGATAAAATATTTTCTTTCGCTTCTCACCTCCACAAAAAAGAGTTTTTGATGATGTCACAGACAGAAGGAGTAATCATGTAGATCTTATAAAATATATGAATGATATAGTTATTATAAATTCATTATTGACAATTGAAGAAGTCAAAATTGGATATAATACACTCAAAATAAACGGTAGATTTTGACATTTTTATATCAAAGTTGCATAAAAAAATTGCTTCATTGTATATATAAACATAAAATAACTTTCAACGAATTTAATCATAAAATTACAAAAAATTCGAATAAATTTTTGTGCTTCAATTTAATTGAGTCTTTTGACCTTATGACAAAAATATATATAGTAGCATCAGAATATATTTTAACGAATATGTGTCATTTTTCGTTAAATAATTGTAAAATTTCAAACTGATTACGGACAAATATGGAATATATACAGAGAAGAAGAAAACAAAGTGATTTTTTTTCTTTTTTTCTATTGTACATTCTTTTAATACTATTATTGTTGGGAAAAATGAATAAAGAAGAGAGAAGAGAAGAGACGTAGACAAATCCAAATAATGATGGATCTATAGGCAATTAATTTTTTTGTGTATGTGTACAATTTAAACAATTAGAACCCCATGATCTCCTTCTGTTGCTAATAGTATATAGTTGTTGTTATTATTAGAAGTGAGAGTTTTTCTGATCTATATGTACTTAAAATGGAGCGCACACCCAGCATCAGTTTGAAAAAGAAGAATTTCATATAGACATATTACACAAAGTGCTCACAAAATATGGTGCCATCAACTATACACTTTTCTTAATTAGATCCCGTGCTGTCAAAATGTTTGTTTATGAACAAAAGAGAGAGAGAAAGCGAGAGAGAAAGAGAATGAAGTGACTTAATTGCAATTTTTTATTATAAAAAAGAAAAGCCTAAAAATCGACTTGATGCTAGCTCGTATAATTAAAATTAAAGTTGACATTTTTGTTGATACTCCCTACTATATTTCCGATAATTTTTTTAATGCATTCTCTGACAAAATAAAAGGTAGAAACCTTCTGTATACAGACTAAATGATCTAGACATAACAATTGTATATACGAGAATGTCAATCTATTTGGAATAAATAGTCAAAAAAAATTCATCAATTTTCTGATATATTGGACTAGCGTTGGACGTATATTTTCTATAACCTTGAAAATGTCACTTTTAACAAACGATTACTCAATGTACTATTTATCAAACAGTAAATAATCTACTCTTGAGAAACCAATTTTTATTAATCCGTCATCAATACATAGAGAAAAAGAGAGAGAGAGAGACAGAGATATATATGTATGCATACAATAATACCACTGTTCTCTATTTTTGTCTTTGTCTTTACTAAAAAAAATTTTTTTTTTGTTTTTTTCACAGCGGAAATGTTTCACATTCAACTAGACATCAATCTTTATAGTTTTTTTTATTAGGTGAAAACACTTTTTTCCCTTTTTTTTTTTGTTTAACTAGTAAAAATAAGGCTCACGGGAAAAATGTTCACTTGTTAGAAAATCCAATTGCTGCTGGTTTTGCCGAAATAATTTTTTGTTTTTGAATATTAATATTACTAATTCTTTAATGTGTATGTGCACTTTTTATCCCATTCTAGTTTTCCTTTTTTTTTCCTTTTTCTGTTACTCTTAACAACTCAGCTGAGTGAAAAGAGTGAAAGCGAGAGAAAGAAGAATGTCACACGGTAAGGAAAGTCAAGTGGGTGGTTTAAAACTCTTATACACGTACACACATACACGCACAAACTTTGATGATAATGCCAGAAAAAAACTACTGTTGTTGCTGCTTCTTCATTTTTTTTTTAATCATCGTGGTTTTGAATTAAAAAAATTTTAGTAAAACGTTGATTTTCCCCTTCCAGTCTCTTTTCTCGTCACACAACAAATAATGATAATACATCTTTAAGTAAGAAGAAAAAGTTTATTCCTTCTCTTCTTCGAATTCAAAAAAAAAAGAGGAAAAAACGCATTAAGAAGAGAGAAAAAGTAAAATTATAGGTTTCTCAATGTTTCGATGTTATTGTACAAAGGGGTTGGATCAGAAGAAGAAGAAAGAGAAAAAATCCGTTCTCATATCTGTACGGTAGAGAAAATTTTGTGTTCTTTTTTTTTTCTTTTTCTTCTCATTCTCTATGATGCACGTAATATTGATGATGTATTGCATGCATAATTATCGGTGTAGAAGAAAAAAAGAAGACAACAGCAACAACATCATCATAATAATTACGAGTAATCAGAATAATAAAATAATAATATATACGTACTATTGTTTTTAACCCCAAAAAAAGATTTTTATGATTATAATGAAACGCGTATGATAACCGATACATTATAAAAATTTGTTTGTTTATCATTTATCCTTTGATCAAATGAAATTATTTAAAAACAAAGTAAGTTAATTACTAAATGGTCATAGTAAACTGTTTTGAATAATAGCTGATCAATACGCACTTCTCACGGTTAATATGTAAGACTTCTTTGATCTTGAAGTTAAAGGACACAAGACTCTCCCTAGAATTCATACATTTACCAGAACTCTTACTATCAAAAACATCGAAAAAGATCGTTGTTATCAATCAATGTATCGCGGTGTTTATCTACTACTTTTATTAAATTTTTTTGTTAATTTCATCATTAGTGCCGCCGCATTTTCATTGATAATCTCATCTAAACTAACGGAATTTTCATAATCTCATAGGATAATTGTGTCCGAATTACATTAATAATCAAAGAGATATTCATTTTTTTTTGTGTATAATTTTTCCTATATCATTGTCACGTCGATCAAAGAGAAAACAGCAAAAACAAAATTGTATTTCATCTTATAAAACACATAGTTGTCGTGTGAAAAAACTGATACAACAGCAAATCAGAAGATTTAACATCGTCCGGATATCATTTCATTTTATTCAAAACAACATTGTCTTTTCTGAAAAAGATGTCATGCGTTTCTATTTCACTCAGATATATTGAAAACTACAGCGATTTTCTAGAACTGCAAAACTTTAGGCATGCACCAGTTACGGACCGATTATTTCTGACTGTTTTTGAAGCATGTAGGAAAATTGTTATAACGTGGTTATTAAGAATTACTCAGATTTGCGAAATGTCTCATTTTGTAAAAAAATGTTTATTCTATGTATTTATATGGAAGATGAAATTAATGGTTGAAAGTGAGAAGCGCTTTATTACTGAAGAGTCATAAACAGTTACGTAACTGGTGACCACCTACGATGTATAGTTATGGTATTTAAGAATGCTCATATTTTTTGTCACAATTAACGTTAAACTTTTTTTTGTTCAACAAATACATAGAACAAACATTTATCTACAAAATGGGACGTTCCGCAAATCTGAGCGCTTCTTAATAACCGCGTTATAGCAATTTTCCTGGATGTCCTAACACCACTTATATAATTGGTGCATGCCTATGCAAAACACAATTTCTGTTTCAAAGTACCTTTTAACAGTACTTTAATAAACTTTGTTAAGTTCCACTATTGTAATTGGAACGGATGAGAAAATTGAAGAGTGTAAACTATCATTCTAAATAGTGAGAAAATGATCGGATATAAAAAGTGCTCTTATGATGAGTTCATAAATTATTATTTCTTACATAAAAAGAAAAAGAATAGTAATAATTATGTATTATAAAATATTTTTATTTTCAAGATAGGTCATTTCTTTGACTTATTACTATGTGTATGCTTTAGAAATAGAGTGATCAGACAGACAGCTAACTAGTCGAAAAAGAGATGAATTTTACATAGAACTGTTGTAACCTGTAGATAATTCTCTTGCTTGTGCGTCGATGAATATAGGAAATTACAATTTGTTTCTGCTCACGTATGTCTATGGAGAGGTATTATTGAAGGCTAATGGAATCAGTTAACCAAAGTTCAATATATTCTAAAACTAATTAAACACTCTGGAACACATAAGCAGTACTACATCAAATATATGTTTCTCTCTATCGTGACCTCATAACACTGATTAAAAATGATGTCGGTAAGTTGAATATTGCTTATCAGCAACATTAAAAACTCATGGTTTTTCGAAAAAATGCCAGCAAGTGTTTACCACGATAAAGTCCTTGTCAAAGAATCTGTAGAATACATTGTACGTACGTACAGCACAAAGTAAACGATGGTATGTTTCCATTTTCTACTCATTTGTACTTGAAAAACTTCATCACTTAAATGGAATGATCATCATACTACTAATTTACCATTTATTGTTTTATTATTTATTAAACTATATCAACAATGATATATTTAATAGTTATTCCATCTTTTTGAGTCTAGAGAATATAATATTTATTGTCTTCTCACATATTAATCTAGCTGACAGACACTATAAGAGAACTATGTATCTCTAGTGACATTTCAACATCTGCTTTTATCAAGGTTATTAGAACTAACTTCTCCTTCATGCAAAATTGTCAAATAAGACTATAAATCATGCATAAAACTGTTCAAAACTGTCAGGAAGATCTTTTGAATTATCCTCTATCGAACAAAATTTTACTCTGCATATTCCAATGACATACGGTAGTTCGCTAATATCGCATGCGTCTGAGAAATTTATCTTTCAACTATGTTCTCGACGGTATGCTAAAATCGATTTTGTCCATAATAACTTTACTTACATTGATTTCTATATCAAAAAAAGACGTAACCTTCATTTTCTCTGTTTTAGAAACGTGCACGAACCAAGTCAGAGAATGATATTTCGAAACGTGGCAATGTAGATCATGACGAGAAAGTATGTACAACTTAAATTATAACTTTCATAGATTCTATGGTAAGCGTTTAGGAATAGAATGACTTGTAGTTTACAAAATATCATTAGAGTAGTGGCAAAAGTCGTGATTTAGTGACAATTCTTTATAACCAAATAACTGATATTTAGAACAGAACCAAACACTTCTGTTTTGAAAATGGAGCTGAGTGACATCTGTTGGTATAAGACTTATGGACTTAAAACAGAAAGCTTATAAAAAAAGATGAATTTGTAATTTAATTGTATTTGTTCATAATACTCTTTATTACATCTTAAATAATCATAAAAACAAATACATATTACATTTCAAAACTAGACAAGAATATCGGATGCACACAATTATCGTTCTTGCTTAAAGTGACGACTGTTAGTGGATCTTTTTATGCCAAAATTTCAAGAAAAGATGCGCGCTGAGGCGAGTTAATAAAATGTGATTGTGAGAGTATCATTTTTAAAGAAAAAATTTGAAAATATTACGATGACCACTGAAAAAAATCCATTTTTGAATGATGATGACTCTACTTAATATGAACAACAAAATTTTTTTGTTTTTTTTATGCATTGCATTCAACTCTTGTTAGTTTTATCAATGTTTTGCTCATCTTCAAACATTGCATAATACTAGATTCTTCTCTGTGAGAAGACATTCACAACTGAATAATTCTCTCTATAAAAGAGTCTCAATCTAAGTATGAAATGGGGAGTTTTTTTTCTCAAGGTGTGCTCCCCATTATGTTGTTATCAAATTTAAATAGTGACACAAAACCCAACCATCATTCTCTTCAGAAGAGATCCTCATTCTACACTTGTTCTTGATTTCAAGAATAACGTTCATGTCACTTTTTTTCTTTTCTTTCTCCTTGACAAAACTCTTGCTCTCTTTAATTGCTAAAAGGTACTCTCATATATAGAAAAAAAATTGACATATTGTAGATAAATATGATGAGATTAAGAAGTTGGTTAATTTACAGCTTTGTACAACATCTATACAGTATAATTTAACGTAAACATACAAAAAATTATTGTCACTTGTACTACCCTGCGTACAAATTGAATTAGGCAAGGATAAAACGTTAAATGTCAAGTTTTGTAAACGATGAAAGAAGGTCTCACTGTAACTAGTTGTGTTTGGAACAAACAGTTAACGGTTCTACACAAGAATTTTGACGAGACTATACCATTCGTACGCTCTCTAAGATTACGAAAAATAGTTATGAATGGCACTTGGTCCCATGATCAATATCTCTGGCTATATGTAAAAGTTGATTCAAAACCGAAAAAGACAACACTGTTCTACAAAATGTAAGAGCTGAAAAAATGTCAACTTAGAGAACGTATAATTGACGAGTATTATTGCCATTTATGTCAGCAACAACAGAAACACAGATTCTCATAGTACCATAGACTACCTTCATACATCTATATTTACCTTTTTGTTGTTTAATCGTCAATTTTATTATAATAATATTTTCGTTTCTATGAGTGTGAAAGTCATTAACTCTATCAACTCGATAAATACAAGATCGCACGTAGACACCATCACAAAAATTTATCGTGTGTGTACCTTTGATAAATAAAAAAAATTATGCTCCACAAAGAGAGTGTTTAGTGTCTTGATATCCGCTTCCACTTTTTTAATTCCAAAATTGTGAAAAATAATGATAAAAAAGGTAGAATTATATTATCTATTCATGTCATATAGATGTACAAAGTCGAAATATGATCTCAGTTCTTATTCAATGTCTTAGTGAGATTATTTTTACCATCACAATGTGATGTGAAAGAATGATATTGATCCATTATAATCTTTTTTCGTAGGTAGATTTACGTACGTATAAAGAATTTTAAAAAAATGTCTACAATATAAACACAAAACTAATTGACTTGATCGATCATTTTTCTGTTAACTTCCGTATTATAAGTGTGAGTACCATGTTCTATCAGACTTCTTTCTTTATTAATAACGAGTGTTTGTTCTCATAGGAGAACTTAGGCTAAAACGTGGTAATAGTGATGAATCAGCGAGTTTATTTAGTATAAAATTTTTTTCTATTCTTAAAATATTCACATGTGTATTACGATATGTGAGATACTTTTTTTTTAATAATATTCGAAAAATGGTCTGATAACAGTTAAATTTAAAAATCTTTTTAAGTGAAGATTATTTTATTTCAACTGTAAAGTGTTCTCTAGCTTTCTTTTATTTTTTTACCACATCTCGAAATTTAATATCAACGCATTTATCATCTGTTTTCAAGGATAAAACATTTTTTTTTTTTGGAATGAATTTAATCATACTGCGATTCGTACACACTCATGAAAAAAAGTCAATTCGTTGTGCATGCCTGCATATAAGATGCAATATTATCTAATTTTACGATATGTTCGATGTATTATATAGAGATAAATGTAAAAATATAGAGAGGAAAAGGAAAAATTATTATATTAGATACGTTAACAAAACAAACCGATCGAGATAAAAGCAAAGAAATCCCTACTCTGTCTATATAGAGAGAGATGTGTGTATGTGCATTGCGATTTTGTTCGATTATTTTTTTCGCTCTCAGATTTTTTTTTCTTGCATCTTTTCTCAATTTTTGTTCTTCTGTTAATGATGGCATAGAAGAAATAGTAGTCAGGATAACCTTCAGCCAAAAGAAAAGAACTAAAAAATAATAATAATTTTTTTTTTAGTAGCTAAAACCATTTCGATATATACAAGCTCATTGAAGAAATAAAAAAAATAAATAAATAAGTACAAATATTTCGGATAAATCTTTTTTTTTTATTGATTCGCATAAGCGAATGAATGTCTACTTCTTATTTTACTAATGTTGTACAATAAAGAATTATGTACATCCGTAGGCATACAGACTAGGTACATAACATTACAATTGTCAAAAAAAAACAGAAAATAAATTGAAAATTTCGTCCATTCAATCAGTCAATCAGTCAGGCAAGCATAGTTTTGGCTTCAACTCAAGGGACCTTTCTGTTCTTTCTGACACAAAAGTTAGATGAGTCAGAAACTTGTTTTCTGGCTTTTTATCAATAAATCTGTATTATCATTCTCAATCGTTCTACTTAAGTGACAAAATTGATTTGATCATAAGACTAGTATTTTTTTTTGTTGTTTTTTTCTTAGCCAAAGATCCGATTTAATGTAAGAAATTTCTGTTATTTATTAGAAAATCTATGGTTTTAGGAAATTTGAAAAATAATAACCATTGTACTATCATTTCCACTTCTCTTTTTCGATATTTTATAAACTCCTAATTCTATTTTTGACTACCTCTTTTTGAAGAAATACTGTGTTACTAATATTTCACTGTAATCGGATAATAATATATTACTACATGTGATCAACTTGCGGATAATCTCTCGTTTATCTATTTAATCATTAAAACAGATATTGTTATAAGAAGTGTCTATTATTATTTATTATTAATTGAGGCTGGTCGCACTATCAATTGTTGTTCTAACACTTATGGTAGATCATAGCCTCTATATATACATATACATATACATTATATGTCAAAAGAACGAACGTTGGCGACCGCAACTAAATTGTTAAGTGGTATTTTTCTTTAAGCTGCAAAGAAGGAAAAGAAGAAAAAAAGAACATAAAAAGATTTTCTTTTTTACATATCTGTAAACTCACTCTGCCTGCTACCTTTTCATTCTGTGATTTATGTGTGAATGTGTGTATGTTTATTCCATCATGATAGAGAACAAAGATAAATATATGTAGTAGAATAGCAATAATAGTAAAAAAAGACCCATAAACTGTGAGTAGAAAAACAAAATACGCGAGGCTCTCCCATAAAGTGTTGAAATGTTATTAAAATAAAATAAATGTATAAAGTGAGTTCATAAAAAAAGAAAGAACAAAAGAGAAGCCGTTGTGTGTGCTTTACTTCGCATATTGACACCTGCATATAGTTCATCATTTTCTTAAGTTCTTTTGTTTTTTTTTAGTTAAGTGATTTATGTGCATATTTAAAATCCCACTACACATAATTTTCCATTGTATACTTTTTTATTTTCAACAGGTAATTGATACGTATTAATGAAGGCTCATCGTTGATTCTATTGAGAGACGACGAATACATGTATATGTAGAGTTGTCCCATGAGAGATAAAAAGATATTTTTGACAATGATATGGAGAGAAATAAGAGACGGACTAGAGATATCAGCAGAAAAACAATAATAATGAGATTAATCAGTAAATAGAAGAAAAAGTGACATTGATTAACCATACAATATGGTATTGTTTGCTCTTTATTTTATGTAATAATTAAATAATGTTTAGAAGCAATGATTTGGTCTGTATCAAAATAAAGAAATTAAAAGAAGTAAAGTAGACAGTCTATGTCGGCTTATGAACTACGTTGAGTTCAAATTACTTTTTAACGGTGCATAGGGTCGATTTACTATATAAAGAACATAGTACAAAAAATAAACGTTCTGTAGTTATTATTGGGCAAAAATCTATACCGAATAGAAAAGTAGATGCCTTATAAGACATACAAGTATAATAAATCTATTCATGGAATATAGAAAACGCATGTTAGCCATTAAAAGATGATGTATAAAACATTTATCTGTAATTTTCACTATATCTCGTAATAAACGACGAATTTATCTTTGTAATTAATGATCCATTAGGATACTAGGTAACTTTTACATTCGACACGCTTAAAACTTTCTAGAATGGAGGAAAATTAGTAGATGAGACTGACTGTGACAACAAGATTATAGTTCTCAAAAGACCATAAAAATAGCCACGATGTTTTTTTCACAATTCTATCACACACACATGCGATGTTTCATGGTTACTATAAATTAATGACTATGCAAGAAGAGAAATCTATATTAATAACGAACTGTAGAAACAGAACAAAAAATTTCGAAAACCTTGTACGATAGTTTCATCTATGGATGGTTATAATATAAGAAACGAAGTAACTAACTATAATAGTGGAATAAAAAGAAATCGAAAAGTAGAAAAGTAGAACTTCGAACAGGTATAACGAAATGTTTAATTTGAAATTTATTTAACAACAACAACAAAATACTTGATGTATGTTGAAAGAGAGAGAGAGAGAGAGAAAGATATCAAATCAGCAACACAAAGAAGAATAGGTTAAGCGAAAAAAAAAGCTTCAGAAAGACATTTATTAAATGGCATCGTCTCAGCTATTTTGTTTCGATTATAAGAACAAATATAAAAAGGAAATATTTAAGATTATTGTGTATATATATCGAAAACGTTTTTCTCTTTTGATAACAGAAAAAATGTATAGAAACGGGCACCAAATTGTTATTATGGGTATTTAAATAGTCGAAAGAATATTTTTATAAAAAGTAAATCGCCTAATGTGGAAGATAACGATAGAATTTTTTTCTTACTCTTAAAACGTCATTTTTATTATTTATTTCAGAAGAAGTTTCCTACCACATCTACATTTACTGTTGATTCTTCGACACGTTTGTCTGAAGATCGACTACCACGACGTCAAGAACAACGTGTAATTACACGTTTAAAAGTTAACAACGATCAAAATAATAATTTACGTACGAATTCGACTGATAGATTAAATACAAATTCGACAATAACCTATCGCGATAAATCAGACCCTCGTCGATACTCACAGCCATCATCGAATACTCTGCGTTCAACACAACGTTCAACAACTACTACACCATCGGCAGTTCCACCCAATCAACATCATTTAAGTAAATCTGTTGATCGTATAACCTCAACTAATCGTAGTAGACGAGAATTACGTTATGAAGAACATGATGATTTTATTCCACCGCCACAATATCGTGAACCACCGCCACAACACCAACATTTAGCCAATATACAATGTCATCCGGCAATCGATCAGTATAATCGAAATTTGAATACAACAGTTTATCATCCACGAGCGGTACCATTATACGAAAATAATAATCAACAGTACGGTTATCCATCACAGTTTTCGTTAGCAAGAAAAAGTCAGATAGATCATATCCAACCAAATATTCAGGTACACAGTTGTAAAATTGAGTTAATAAACAATTTGTCATCAAAAATATTTCTGTTCTCTTAATTTTCAGGTTCAACATCTGCCACCGCCTCTTCCATTATCACAGTATTATACGACATCAACTTCTCAAGCACAGTATTATCGTCAAATACCTGTTGCGCATTATTCTACACCCTCTTCTTATAATTTAAGACAATTACCTGAACGTGACAACACAATTTATAGAAAAATAAACAATAATGAACATCGTATCGTTACTCCATCGAATAGTAGTACGTTAAGTAGTATAAATAGTCGTTTGAAATTATCTGTCGATACAATGGCCGACGATAGAGAAAATAATAATCACACTTACGGAAAACTATCTGATTGTCGTTCGCTTATACCATCGTTCGATAATTCAACAAATATCAAAGCACCTAGACGAATTCAATCACAAAATGAACAGCGACCAACACGATCCTATTCTCCTACATCCCAACCATATCAAAATGATTTAAATGAAACGAAAACTTTAAGAAATCAAACATCGGGAGGAAATTATGCTCAGTTTCCTGTAACTCTCGATCATAGTTCAACAGAACCGTTTTATGCTAATACTCAATCGTTGTACGATAACATTGTTTATCCGCAATCGGCAACAAATAAACGCAATCTACCACGTAATCAAACAGTTGATTTAGATGGAATGTTAACAACAAAGTCTTGTGCATCACAGACACAACTGACATGGACTATGGCGACATTTAGTTCATTTGTGGATTTGGAAAATCAATCGATTATTATTCCTCAACCAGATCCAGCGACATTTTATTCTATAGGCAATACAATATCTCCCTATCAATCACAACAACATATTAGGAAATTATCACCAACGGTACGTATAGGGTATATTTAATTCCATTTTTTCAATCTTGGCGATCTTAATGAAAATTACTCCTAAATTAGATATTTGAAAAAATATTATTCTTTTGTTTTATAGTCCTTTGAAACTGACACTCATCCACACCAACATCATCACCATCATACGAAGTCTCCTGTCAATAATTTAATTGAAAAACGTGATAATTCATTTCAAACATTATTAACATTCTCACCATTTGACGATAACAGTAATATCGATATGCAATTGTCATCAGATGGCACAACACCTACAGTCGGTACAAACTCTCGTAAACCAACAAAGTCTCGTTTAGCCACACGTGATGTTGGCCTCCAAGTCAGTATTCAGACAGTTAAAAAAATAACGTTTTCTACGACTCCCACGGCACCTGCGTTCGGTAGTATAACATCAACTCCATCGTTGTCTGAACCGTCATCAGCTACTTCGACTACGACATCTCCCACAACTGTTCTGATCCCATCCGCGAAAGAGCACCGAACAATTGCAATAAATACCGAACATATACAGACACGAAATAATCATACGCAAAGTGCACCACAAGACAATGAAAAAATATCGCCTAAAATGGCATCAGCCTATTCTCAAACAACAAAATCGTTAACGATGACAGATACAAAATCCCAGCAAACAACACCAAAGATGGGCGTACCCCGAGATCAATGGGTTGAAACAACGTTAAATAGTACGAAACCGGGCTTATTCTTTTGTGATCTTAGTTCAGTTGTCAAAGAAGGAGAAAATTCATCTTTGAAAAAAAAGTAAAGAGTAGAGTAGAATAGATCAATTGTTTTCTTCATTTATTACATGTGTTTTATATTTTGTTTGTTCATATTGTTGTTTTTTATTAAGATTTTTTTTGAAATTTTTTTTTTATACTTTGTTCATATTTCACACATAATTATTTTATATTTGATGATGCTGATATGAAAACTAAGAAAAGTATATTATTAGTGATTAACAAGAAAAAAATGATCGTTCTATTCAAGAAATGCAACGACATGGCATCTTTCACGAAGGTTCTTTAACATAGTATCAGAAACTTATTACGATATTTCAGCAGATAGATCTTCAAATAGAGCAAATTTCTGAAGTTCAGTAGTGGGTGCTTCTTTTCCTGCAATGATATTCATTCATATCTTTTCGACAATCTGTATTTCTGCAACATGTTCTTATGTTACTACTAACAAAAACATCTATTTTGTGTGATTTACACTGTTTTCCTATTGGTAATTATTTAGACTAGCATTTTGTACAAAATTAAATCGTACTTTTGTTTTAGTTCATCAGCTCATAATCGTGCTATCTTAGAGTCATCGAAGTGATAAAGAATTCAGGGCATTTACTTAACAAAACAGCTGTGTGTACAACATTGTCGACTCCATACTTCACTCGCATGTTCAAAGCAAATCTCAACTATTTTTTATTTTTATTTGAAGTATATCATTCTTTTATCTTTGTCTATACATTTTTCTGTTTTTATCAGATTGAACATTACTTTACTATCGATTGATATTACTCTTTTATTCTCTTTTCAATGAGAGTAGTATCTGTCTATTTTGACAAATAGATGAAAATGTCATTTATACATGTGTAGTAAATGAAACTATTATTAAATAAAATTGAAGAGTTTGTGTCAAAACTATGTCACTACTATTCACATTTTGTATATTTCATAAGAAAAGAGAGATCTATGATAATGTATCAATAATCTGATTTGCATATCAAAATAATAAAAAGAAAGCACCTATAGATTTTAGTGTTATAAATTTACATTTCTTCTATAGGCCATTAAGTCAATAAATAACTATTCGATTTGTTTAAAACATCAGATAATTTTAAAAATGGCAAACAGAGGACTCTTTGTGATAATGCAGTAGATAAATCTGAGGGAGGAAATTGATAGTACTCATAAATTCATATGTAGAATTGCTTAGTAGAACACATTTGCGTCAATATTGTAACTCCTACTTTCAGAATAGAAGACCTCATAAAAAGTAGAGATCCATCAGGCCATTTTAGAGAATCATGTCCTTTTATTCTGAGAAGGTTGGACAGTTATGTAGAATGAGTGCTTAACGTTACTTTTTTACCTTAATTTCAAATGTTATTTCAAATGTTTGCGTTTGCAGTGTAAAATTGACATGATCAATTCCTCTTGGACGCATTCTCCATGATTGAAACGGCATATGAGCATGACGATCATTCAGTAAAGCATATGTGCCCAAGTCATACGTTTTAAATGATATCATACGAGTATCTAAAAGAGAAAACTTTTTCTGTCAATTTTTTACATTTGTGAGTTCTTTGTCTTTTTAAAAAACAACAATTATTTATCGATTATGTCAAAAATAAAAATACCTGGCAAATATTGATAATCTACATAGCCTTCCTGTCTCCAATGTTTTTTCTCCGTTATCCATCGACCAAGTAGAGGTTTTTCCGTTACAAATAAATTATTTGGAATTCTAAAAGAAACGAAATTAATATATGCTCTGTTGGTTTATCCCGATACGTTTTACTTGAATTTAATAATCAGAGGTGTTTCATTTTTGGCTGCAGCTGCTAGAAACATCTTTCGTATTTCCGGATTATTTTCAATCAATGTCGCATCAAGTGTCGCAGATGGATCTATGAATGTGTCTTCTGGATCTTTCGTATTCTAGAAATTACAAAAATATAATTTATAACCATTACAAACAAATAGAAAATCTTTTATACTTTATCGTCATCTTTTTTCGTTGAATGATCTGATGATTTATTTTTACTGTTAACAAAATCTTCATAAAAGCTTTGTGCTATCATTGGATCACTTGGATATGGATATTGAACGAGAATATCACTATTATCAACTAAAAACAAATTTATTTGAAACAGATGATCTTATTCCTGCTAAGGGAAACTATTTTAAACCTTGAACAATGGTCCACTCTTGTAATTTTTTTGGTTGAGGAGGAATATGATACAAATCAATTTTCAATATTGGTAGCAGCGGCCAATGTGAACGCAAATCCACAACTGCTTCGTCAGCCAGTTCTTCAAGAATTTGATCGGCTGTACCTTGAACACATTATTAATTAATGTCTAAGTAAGACTTTTGAAACAGCATTATTCCTACTATTAAATAATTTATCTTGATTTGAGACAGATTTTGGACTATTTAATTCAGTTGTTGAACGTTGATTACCAAGTTTTTCTTCTTCAGATACTACGGCTGACTGTTCAGATGTTGCATCTCTAGCCAACATAGCTTCAGCCTCTTCTCTCTAAAGCAATTATAAAAGATTAATGCATACAGGGAAACGGCATGAAATACGGTTCAAGCAGAAGTGTTTAGGCCAAGGGGAAGGCAGCTGATTTTGGGATTTTTCCGATTTTCATCGATTTTCACCAAATGAAAAGTCATCGGAAATGACTGGAAGTTATTGGAAATCACAGAAGATCACTGAGAATCACTGAAAATCTGTTCAAAGCACTGATGATTTCGACTGATTTCAATCACCTGTTTCCCCCTTGGTTTAAGCACATTAGTCGATCTTTTGTAGTACTATATCTAGATACTTTGGTTGACGTCTTCAGTTATCTAACTGCATTACTCGATGTATTGCTCAATACATCTAGATACGAAGAGTAAAATAAACAAATGACTGTCAAATGCATCCAGTTATACCAGCGACAGCTTTCTAACATACATATAGATAAAGTACCATAAAAAATTGAAGTATCGAGCAACGCAGCAATCAATAGCAACTTGATGCATCACCCGATACTAGCTGCCCTTTTTTTATGCTTGACCGGCACATTTTTATTGTTCTAACTGACTTGTTTCGTTTGTTCCATTAATTTTCTTAATTCTGGTGGTAAATTTGCATCAAATGAATTTTCATTAGTAAGTTTTCGTTCGTCGTCATCAGGTGGCGTTTCCTCGACAAGAGGCTCTGGTATAGGATCTTTAATAGACATACAAAACAAACTATAATGGAGAACCATAGATTTTATAGTTATAGTCTATAATCTATACTAAAACGCCTCGGTAAAGGGAAATGTCTTCCTGCTGCGTAATACTTACCATATTCATATTCTGGTGCTTTTGTTCGACATTTTGATAATAATGATCGTTCAGAATAATAATCATACTTCAAGAATAGTCCCACAATAGCTACATTTGCTAACAATAATGGTTTTGGCAGTTCGAAAGTAAAATTACATTTATCAAAAGTAAAAGGTTTCATTCTGAAAGAGAGCGGTGAGAACAATAGTAATTATTAATAACAAATATTGACTCTACCTTGGATTATGACTTAGATTAGCCCATACACAAAGTGTCACATTTTGATTTTCCGCTGTATATTGAAAATTGTTTGTCTCTAAATCTTGTAAATCCGTTGCCTTCAACATAATGTCGTGAGCGGCTTGCAACCATTTAGCATGTAACATATCTTCTAGTTCACGAATAGTCTAAACCAAAAGTTAGATTATTCGATTTAATCATCTGGGTTTTCGTGGTGAATCACATACCTGTTTGTAAATTGGAATGCGGTCAACTTCTTGTGTACCATTTGGAATTGAATTAATAACTGTATTCAGTTCATTGATCAACTAAAGAGACAACGTTATAACAGAACATATGATGAATCCAAATAAATAATTATAAACCGGAATATGCCGAAGGGTACCTTTCATACAGTTCCGGCCAGATATACATGAAAGCATAGCCGGAAGATGAAACCATTTGAACTTCACAGTACTAGCGGAACAAAGTAAAAGCCTTCCCTGAAAAAAACATGATGCAATATAGGTTTTCGGAGGAGTGAAGGTTTACCATACCCCTCTCTAATCAATCTAACTGTAAACAAGCATTATGTATGACATGTCTATAGCTCTACTTAAAAAAAGTCGATTTGTCTTTCAGTAGAGATCAGTCATACATAATGTTTGTTTACAGTTAGACTGATAATTGACTAGCCTACGATGCAAAAGTAATTGGACAAAATGTCTCGCCATTTTTCTTGTGATAAAATACATTTCGGAAAAATGAAAAAAATCTGTTGAGAATCTACATTTAAACAGTTTTCGAACTGTATGTTCAAAAATTTTCTATCGGTTTTAGTCGCCTCAGAATAAGTCACGGGCTTTTCAAAATCAAAAAGCAAGGAAGATCTCTTGTGGATAAACTTTTTTTGCCCTTGCTTTCTGCAGAAAGCAATAAAAAATGTTCTCTCGGCCAGACGGAAAATATTTTTTTCCAGAGCAGGAAAGTGTATGACTCCGTCCATCCCATCATGCACCCTACTCAGTACTTGTATTCCTTATATAACTTTTTTGTAGCACATTACTAAAACGTTTTTACGGTATAAGATTGTAGAACAGACAATTCTCTACACAATAAGATGTTAAAATAGGATACACGACATAACGGTCGGAAATTATTCGCGTTTTTTTTATATCATTTTTTACCCAAAAAGGATTTCGGGAAAAACACAATTTTTTACAAAGCAGGCTTTTGGTGAAATTAAAAGTTTGACCAGTTTTTGCAATGCAAAGATAATCTAAGATCGTCTAGTTGGTAGAGAAAATTCTGCTTTATAAACTAATAAGTAAATCAAAGTTTAATCTTTCGATTTGAAGTGGTTATTGTCAAAATGAAAAAATAACCAAAATTTTTATCGTTACAGCCTAAAATTTTTGGTGATAACAAAGACTCACAAAGACTCACTCACTGCCAGAAGAGTAAAAGCAACAGAATATTTCTGAACACATAATTAGAAAGCTCCCGAAGTATACATTCAAAATAACTATTTTTGATATTTTTGGAACGTGCTTTATCACAAGGAAAATGGAGAGATATTTGTCTAGTTACTTTTGCATCGTAGGTTAAGCAGGTTCAATTATTAATTAGGGAATCGATTTTTATATGGTCATAGAGCAAATTAGTTGAGAAGATGACACTACGTTCATCATGTGCAGAAGCAAAAGTCACTCAAGAGCTCTATGTATCCCTTCTCCAAACTGCAGTCAACGTTAAAATAATTTTTCCCTGCTTCACTAGATGGTCACTATTTAGCCAAGCAGTATATATCTGTTGTGATAAAGAATGTCAAGTCGTTTCCATTTTATAGCAGTCCATATTTCGGTCAATAGCCGTTCGAAACTGAAGGCAGTTATATCGATCCAATTCTTTATCAACAAAACAAGCTTCACTTTTATCTAACATTGTTTGCAGTTTCATTTTGATCTGACAGAATTAGCTTTGTGAGACGTCAAAAGCTTTTGATATCTGAAAGACGAGGCATTAGACATTTTTTAAAGAATACTTAGAGCCGTTGGGTGACTTTTGATTCTGCAGATGACAAGCTTAGTGACCACAAGTCCACTTTCTTATCCCATGTCGCGCCCTGAATCTCTTTAAAAATTCGCGGTGAGATCGCGTAATGTGTTCGCTGTAAGACTCATGAAGTAAGACGCGGTTTTTAGCGATCGCTGTTTATTCATGTTTTTCATCTACTAACAATAAATGAGTCACGCTACTTTTACTCTGAACGCGGATGAATCGCGATTCACCAGTTTGCGCCGCGGCTACGCGAGACTTAAATTAGTCCCGTGCCATCTCTTTCTTTTTACTACTACCCTTATCCATTTCTGACGCGGTCATGCCGCGATTTTAAAAGTTAACCAAAAAAGTTATCTTAACACGAATCGCGGCGCGACTTCGCAATCACTGTAAGAAGAACTTGTCGCGTCGCGATCACGCATCACATATTTTTTGTAAAATAAGAGCTGGTCGCGATCGCGCCGCGAGGGCCGCGTTTGCGACGTGAATGAAGAAAAGAAAGTCGACTTGGGACATCTTTCCGACTCGAAGCTTATATAAAGTGGATGAACCTATGGCGAAACATCAAATTTGATAAAAAATCGGGGATAAATCTTACCGATAGTACTAGATTTGTTTGATCCATTGTATTTTCGATAGCTGTATTTTTCTGTTCATCTCGCCACAATGACATGTACGTATTGATTTCTGGCAGTACAGTGGGATCTATCACACAAACAAGAATTCATAAGTTAACGCCACTACACATAAATGGTGCATACCTGGTGTCCCATCACATTGCAGCACACGCTTCCACTAACATAAACACAACCAGGAGATTATTATTGCTGTTTTCGATCCGAATATGACTTACCTTGAAAGCTTCTCGTTGTTTTATTTTAATTTCATGCGCTTCTTGTCGACGAGGTTTAATAAATTCATAGAATTCCGTCAATTCCCGACGACGAAGTTCATTGATCTAAGTTAAGAATGTCGAAATAAAAAAAATTTTTTTCAAAGTTAGTTTCGAATACCTCTTTGGCTAAACTGGTTTTTTCTTGTGCGATACGTTTTTCATTTTCAGCACGTTCCTTGTCTGCTGTTTCAGCTTTTATACGAGCGTCTTCTAAAAAACACAATTGCATCTAATTGCTTAGAGAAAGTAGTTGTTACAATAACAAAATACAGTAATCATTCACATTTTTCCAAATGTATTCTAGCACATCCAGTAATTATAACTGACTGTAAGAAAATCTCAGGTTTTAATATAGCTTTCGTCATGCAAATAACTTTCATTGTCCAAGCTCTTTCTAACACCTTGCTCACTCAGACTTCATAATTTTCTCAGAAGCTCGAAGGATAGAAAAGAACAATTTAACAATAATATCAGAAGTCATTCAACAAAAGCACGGCGCTTTTTGGACAAAATTTAGTTTTTTCAAATAAAAGTTTAACCGAATCAATCTAAATCTGTATACGTACCTTCTTCACGTTTTTTACGTTCTTCTTCTTCCTTCTTCTTCTTTGTTTTAGCACTTGGAGCAGCGCTTTTTTCCGAACTTCTTGTACCTGATTTCTAAATATAAGTACAGCGATCTCGTACAATAGAATAACGTTTTATGGTGAGAAATATAAAACTACATATCTATACATAAGAAACTCTAAAAAAACATGTACAAATGAACAGAATAATAATGTAAAATCTATTAGTTGTTCAATAGTATTTCTTTTTCCTTGTCTTTTGATGATTTTCTTCCTGAAACATACAAAAATAATGTGACTTACAACGGGACAAGTGTGTGTATGAAGACTAGTATATAAAGACTGAGAGTAGCAATGTTTCAGAGACATGAAATTAAATAAGGATCATGTGATTGACGAACAACCTATCTTTTGCTAATCTACTTTTATAATCCTTTTTGGATTTCAATAATTTTGATTTTTTAGTTATTTCATCAACAGTTTCTCCTTCTTTTGATTTGGTGCCGTCAAGTACTATTTCTGAACTTCTCTATCATTTTTTCTACGTTTTCTTCACTGTTGTATATAGCGCAACGACGACTGCCATCGAGGCAGGTAATAAAGGTGAATAGAGTGAAACATCTAATTTGGTACTTGCTCGTCTTTTCTCATGAACGACACTTGTTAGAGTTTTCATCAGAAGTGCCGAATCTACCCGTGTTAAGAACAGTCTAAGATATGCAAAAATGGTCGTTCTTTTAGAAGATGTGTTTGGAAATAGAAGTTGTGTTCGTTAATCGATCGAAACATTCCGAAACTCAGAACATTCCTAAAATCAGAAAAAAATTCTGACTTTTTCGTCCTGTTTCTTCCACTATCATCTAACGAAATCTTGAAGCAATAAGAAGTTGGTATCATACAGACAACTTTTTATGCTCTAATGAATGACGAAACGTTAAATCATCTGTTTCCGAACACATCTTCTAAAAGAACAACCATTTTTGTACATTTCAGGCTGTTCTTAAAGATATAAGAAGCATTTTTTATGCGGATATAAGATAAAATTTGCAAAACATTATCAAGTGCGCTCTCTTTTTCAAGTAAAATATTGTTTTCTCCTGATAAAACTTTCTTTTCTCAAACTTACAGGTGACAGGCATGATCAGCATAAAATTTTCTATACAATTCATGTAGTTTTGAAAAAGTCTGAGGAAAAAAGTTTTCCAGAAATTCTTTGAGGACCCAAAAGCGTCCATAACCTGGAAAAAATTTCAAGACTTAGTTGTAAAAAAATCTTTACTCTCTTTCATAGTAATTAAGATGGTTACAGCCAAGGTTATATGATTGGTTAATAGTCCAGTTGAGGGTATGGTTGATACAACAGTCGATTCTGCGGTGAGATGTTGTGCAATGGAGTGACTTCTCCGTTATCCAGTCTACATTGACTCAATTGCGTGAAGCCTAGTTTCATTGAAGCATCCTGTTCCCACGAAATATCTGCATTATTTCAATTTTACCGGTAGAGCTCATCATAACTATCATCTATAAATCAAGAATATGATTTAAAGCGGTCTTGCCGAAAATCACTGAGGCAAGTGCCGTTGACAAATTATATGATTGTTCTTCCAACTTCTATCACTTTGACTAATGAATAGTGTTTTTGTTTAGGTATCATTTATTACAATAAAGTGATAAATCTTACATTATTACACTTACCATAGGAGTTGCCATTTTCTTGGTGCTGAATAAGAGGAAAAAGAATCTACAAGTGCAAAAACAAAATTAGTACGAACGGTATAGTGCGAAGCAAATCCATTTGAATAATTTGAAACTACAAGCCTTTCCGAAAATTAGACTTTATATGCATTAGTCGAAATATACAAAGAATCTTATACACTGATTCTTTCACAAAGTATTTAAAGTTGCACATATTAGTAGAATATTATCACTAAAAAGACATCATTATATTAGTACTTTACTGCGAGCATGTATGGACGGACACATAATCAAAGCAAAAATCACAATTCTCATTAAAGAAAAATATAATCTAATAAACCAAATGTGTCACATGACGGTGATAACTAACCGATTTGTGAAAATACCAGAAAAAGAAAAACCAACAAAGGAAAAACAGAACACCAAAAACCAACAAAATTTGCTTTAACGTACAAACATTTGTTCTTACACACAACTAATTTTGTTTCATTACTTGTTTATACACATTTATACTGTTATTGATACTGCAGTTATTATTTATTAACCTTCTTTATGCATATCTTCACAAAACTAATGAAATAGTCGACTAATTATGACAGATATTATATAATCATCTGAAAAAATATTCATCTTCCCTCCAGTCATAAAACTCACTTATCATTGTCATTATTATTCTCATTGAACGATTATGGGCGTATTTCAGATGTTACTCTACTTTCATTTTCATATTCTTTTACTCTACATTCTTGTTCTTATGGTAGTGTCATTTTCAATATACTGGCCGATTATTTTCAATAGAGCTTACGGCATGTTGTTCATTTCAGCTTATCTGAAATATAAAAAAACCTAGCGTTTATAAATGTTCAAACTACGCAGAAAATGAAAGGAAACATTTTGAGTGACGTCGACTTTTTCCGGATTTCAAGCGTTGCTTACTGTTTTTCTTTTGCATGTGTTTATGTAGTTTCGGTTAGTATACTATGGTCATAATTTATTTTCATTTACAGTAGAACAACCAGTTCTATCACTAGCTGAGCTTCGGAACAAAACACTTTATTGATTCTGCAAAATGATATCGTCAAATGGCTAGTCAGACACGAATATATAAATAACGGCTTTTACTTTTTTTCATATGGATTAGTGGAAAACAGCCGTAAAAAAATCAATTGTAAGTACAACTTTCAAAGTGCACAGCATACACTGCCCATGAAATAACTTTGATACCCTAGCGCAGGTTAGCATGCGTTAAAAAAAAGTTTTCGAGAAAATTGCGTTTGAACGGGTTAAATTTTCAAATATGACGCGTGCTAACGTTGCTTCGAAGCGGTAACGAGACAGATCCAGTTAAATATGGTACTAAGAAATTTAACGAGTTTCCACGCATTCAAGTTTTCCAAAAATTGATGATAGACGGTGTAAATGCGTTTAAAAATAAAGAATACATGTACATTCGTGAACAAAAGTTTATCTTAACTCGTTTAAACGGATTAGAATAGATTTTAACTCGTTAGAACTCGTTCAACGATAACTCACTAAATGCGTAAGCGTTCCAGTGCGTTAGAAAGGTAATTTTCCAGTCACCCTTTTGTTTTGCATGACCATCTCATATATAAATAGCATGTCTTTTCCTGCGAGATATACGATACATTCACTTAGAAAAAATTTTTTCCTCTTATTATATATATGTGTAAGAGACTAGTCTAGCATAATGATGCTGATGAACAGTATCTAGTAGTCCATAGCGATGTGGATCTTGGGATCCATCAACAGAACAAAAACCTGACTGAAAAGGATAAACACACTATAACGCGTTAAAATTACATTGATCTGACGTATTATTCTAACGAGTGTAAACGCATCCAACAAGCTAACTTATTCAATTTTTAACGAGTTTGAACGATTTATGATTATGAAAACGTTATCACGCACTACTAATCTAACTCGTTAAAATCACCGAATATGAAACCTTTAAGGCGGTTCTAACGCGTTAAGCCGCTTACGTAACGCGTTAGGGTATCAAATTTTTGTAATTAACGAATTTTACCGTTGTTTTCATATTTTTCTTGTAAAAGAGCGTTTGAGGGCGTTAGAATTAATTTCCAGTCCCATATAAGTTTTAAAAATAACGCATTTGCACGTATTCAACAGCATTTAGCTAGTGTGCACGCATTAAATTTTTCTTTTATTTAACGCGCATTAGAATATCAAAATTATTTCATGGATGCTTTTTTCGTACAGTGTAAAACAGAATGTACAATCGATTTTGTTGAAGCATGATACACTTTGCTATACGCGAATACACTGATCATTAAAAATGCTCTTTATATTATGTAGCCAGTATATATATATATATATCACTGCTACTCAAATGCGTTTTTTTATCTAGACTAAATAACTTAAATAACTGGCTATAACAGTACCAGCGCCTGTTACATACAGATTGATTCTAGGTAGGAATCATTTATTTGATCCTACTGTTGTTTGCAAACAGCTGCAAAAAAAATACATGTACCGGAGCTGATGACATTACTGACTCGGTTTCTGTAGCAAAGTCCTCTCAAAAATGTACATCTATGTTCTTATTGGTTTTTGTCTACTTCGCTCCCCTAGGACGAAGAGATGACTCATCATATCGAATCATAATGTAGCAGAATGATAATAAATGGGATCAAATACAAAAAAGTAGATGAAAGATCGCAATTATTAAAAGTACAAATTAGGTACTTGTTTGATTGAAAACGTTTTCTTAAGTATTCCTAATTAAATCACAAACCGTGCTGTTTATATCTGCAACAATCACGACTAGTAATCGATGACTAATTCTGTGTAGTAGAATGATCATTCGTGATTTAGTTTTCTCTCCAGTCAGTGATATGACTCAGAATTATAGTTTTTCGTAGACACTAAAAGTTCAAGAAATGTACATTATTCTGAGTATTGAAAAAGTTAGTAAATAACAAATAAAATATCGATTAGTATAGCTTTCACTCTCAGCTACGCTCGCCTGGTTGAGATCGATTATAGAAAACCGCCGCTGATCTGTTTTAAGTAAGGAGCATCATCTCTTCTTGAATAAATGGTCGATGTGAGACGTCTTGAATCAATATATTTTCTGTCTCTTATTCATATTGTTTAAGTTACTGTTTGTTTCGCTTTCTAAGTTATTATATTCAACTTGAAAAACACAACAAAAACAACAGTGTGTCCGGACAAAATTATCTTTGTCAAAATTTAATTTGTTTACTCGCTATTTTGAAGAAGAAGAAAACTAAGTAGTGTGTACGAGTAATTGTTTTATTCGGTTTATTTGTGCATAATTTATTCTACAAATGGGAAATTTTCTGGGAAAGATATTTGGAAATAAACATTTTAGAATATTGATGCTTGGATTAGGTAAGCCAAACGGTATTTTTTAAAGACGTGTCATAATCACGTAGCCCGATCAGAAAAAAGTTCGATGTACGTTATTATGTTAATCAAGATAGTTTGACGTTCATCAGAGTACATCTCCAGTTTTATATTTATTCTACAATGTTAGTAGCTCTTCAACTCTAAGAATGTATATTCGTGTTCGAAAGAATTAAGCTTATAATCATATTTTTTTATTATTACTTTAGATGCAGCCGGCAAAACCTCAATATTGTACAAATTACGTTTGAATCATTCAATCACCACCATCCCTACAGTGGGATTCAATGTCGAAACAGTCACTTATAAAAATGTGAAATTTAATGTTTGGGATGTAGGAGGACAAGTATGTAAAATAGAAGAATTCATAGTACCACAGTTTAACAAGACGTTCCTATTTTCTTTTTAAGGACAAAATTCGACCATTATGGAGACATTACTATACGGGATCACAGGGTTTAATTTTTGTTATGTAAGTAAACATTTAGCATGATACAGAGGCTAAATTAAAGAATAATTAGGACTTTTGAGTAGAATGTTGCGAAATATTTACGGATAGCTTTTTTGATACAGTAAGAAAACACCAGCAAGAGATCCAAGTTGTGTGTGCCAATGTTAAATACTTAATTTGAAACAAGTTTCAACCCAATGTTTGTCACTTAATACATCTTTTTTTTTTGTCTAATTTTAGTGATTCATCTGATCGCGATCGTATTGATGAAGCCAAAGTTGAATTACATAAAATAATATCGGATCGTGAAATGAAAGATGCAATTATTTTGATATTTGCGAACAAACAAGACATTCGCGATTGTATGAAACCACAAGAAATTCAAGATCGTTTGCAATTATCAAAATTACCTCGAGATCGAATTTGGTTTGTACAGCCATGTTGTGCATCAAATGGAGACGGACTATATGATGGGCTTTCATGGCTAACATCAAATTGTAAATAATCATGTCACGGTAACTTTCAGCCTTGTTTAGGAAATTCTTATTTTTCGTTTTTCTGTTCATATTTGTAAAGAAAGAAAACGATTCTTCTCTTGCCGTGCCATTTTTTTTTCTCTTTTTGTCTCGTTGTATGATCTCAATTTAGAGAATGAATGATTTTATGAATGCTGTTCAACTAAAACATACAGAGTTAATCAACTTTAAAAGTGTTTTGTTGTTTTTTTAATGTTGGTTTTTATGTTTTTGTGTCCAATTAATATACTACTTGAAAAACTGTCTATCTTTTTTCTTCTGCTTCTTCTGCTTCTTCTTCTGCTATTACTATTACTACTTGTTGTGCAATCAAAATATTATTCTCTTATTGTCGTTGCTCTTTTTTTTGTAATAACCTTCCTGGATGTTTTATTTATTTTCATTATTTATTATTAAGAAAAAGAAAAATACATAATGCGTAATAGTGTAAAAGTATTATTATAACCTTAAGTTTTCTATTTATTAACTTTTCTTAGTGTTAAAGGATATTAAAAAATCATCCTGTGTGAAGAAATAGTTACTTTAATGGTCATGTGTAGTTTGTCCTGTTCTAAATGTTACTTATAAATGAAATGAAGTAATCATAAGAACAGTCGACGATTAATCATCTGTTTTTTATTATTCAAACATACGGAAAAACTTTTATCAAAAGAAAAAATTTAGAAAGTCTTTCATTATGGTTGATTAGTACCATACAGTTATTTGATTAGTAAGACACATTCAGCGTAACTTAATGTCAATATATTTTTTACATTCATCCTGAGTTCATCAGATACTAATTACATTTAAACATTTGCTTCTAATCTTTTGTCATGCAGTTGTTTTTTATAATGCATTATATACACATATATTAATACTGGATCACACGGGAAATTTTTGTTTTTATTCCAGAACAAAATCTGTACCTAATGTATTGTTCTTCAATTTTTTTCTTTTATCTATTGCTTGATCAATGTAAAATGGCAAGAAATTTTTGTGAACATTCAAACAATAACACGTACATTTTTTCGTCTACACATTTTCGTCTTCCAGTGCATCGACAATTTTTCGATCTATATCTATTATGTGGTTCAAACCGATTTTTCTCATTCACTGCGTGCACACATACACACACAGTTTAAATTTTATGCGTCAACGTGAATTGATTGAAATAAATTGTAATAAATAACCAATGATTGTGTCCTTACTGTGATTTTAAACCTTAAAAAAACACATTAACGTAACATATATTTTTTTTAGAATTCTTTAGTTTGGAGTGAATTTGTTTGTATTGAATGTTGTATGATATTTGTAATATCATTTAAATGCTACTAAGTAAAGTGCTAAGATGCAGTTGATTCTTTCATTCTAGAGCTGATATCTGATTCACTTCTATGTTGTTTAGATGTCACAATGTTTACTTTCCCCTTCTATTCAGACTATCCTAATGTTTGTTTACTTTTTTTTAGATTGAATAATGTTAGTATATTCATGTCAGTTGAGTCTAAAACCGTGCCTGTCTAAATCAGTTATATCTCGTTCATTTCATTTAACCATAAACCATTTGACCGCTTCTCAGACCGGTTATCATGGTCAACCAAATTCAACATGGTGGGATAAATATGCGTTACACAAAAGCCCGATTATGTCACGTGAAGAATTATTAACCATTGATGATCTTGATGAACGTCATTTTAAACCTGTATTACCAGTCATACCCACTTATCAATCATACTCATGTTTTCATGATCCCACCACTAGTCGCCTAATAGGCATGCTTATGAGAAATGGAAATCGAGAATTGACTGAAGAATTAATTCGAAAAACATTTCGTGTCATTAAATTGATAAATGTTGGAAAATATAATAGAGCGCAAACGAAAGATGAACAACTCGAAATTGAATGTAATCCTGTGAAAACACTACAAAAAGCAATTAAAAATGTTACACCCGTAATACGTACGTAAAAAGTAGTATTTTCAAAATTTTTAAACAGTTTTTCGAGTATTTACATTTGTTCTTGTTTTAGGTCTTACCAAAGTGTCGAAAGGTGGCACACTTTATACTATACCAGTTCCAATGAAAGAGATTCGTGGAATTTGGACGGCAATCAAATTATTGATTGAAACGACGAATGATGCACGACCGCATGATCAACGTTTTTGGACATTGTTTGCAAAAGAGTTGATGGATGCGGCCGATGGTAAAGGACGAACAATTAAGAAAAAACAAGAGATACATAGAAATGCAGAGTTAAACCGAGCCTATGCACATTTTAAATGGACGAAATAGTAGAAGTTTTAGTGTATAAATCTGTTTGTTACTTTCTTTTTTTCTTATTGTTATATAGAATAAAAAAAACTATTTTCGAGTTTTCGATTGTTTTTTCTCAAAATTTTCATTTTCATTCTTATGTAGGTCAATTTTCTCTCTATTCTTTGCATTTGTTTTGAAATCGTCTAGTCTATTATTTTTGCAAGTATCATATGTTACTATTTTTCAGCATCCTGATTATGATCTTTCTTTTGTTACTTTAAGATTCATTTTTTTTTTTAGTTATAGATCAAAACAATGTCAACACCAGCAGCTACAACGGCTAATGATTCTAGTGAAAATGTTTCATTAAACATTGAACAAGTACAAAAACAAATTAATTCTGAAATCGAAATGCTACAATCATCGATACAACGTTTACAATATGCTCAAGAAGGTTTTGGTGAATCCATGTTGGCTAGTACAAAATTACCAAAAACTGATCAAGATACATTGATCCCATTGTCATCGTCCATGTATGTTCCTGGACGTTTGTCAGATAATGAACATCTTCTTGTTGATATTGGTACTGGATATTTTATTGAAATGAGACCAAAAAAAGCGTACGAATATTTTAAACGTAAACATGATTATATTCAAATTGAAGTTGAAAAATTACAAAAAGTTTTATATGAAAAATTATTAACTCGTCAACAAATTCATAATGTTATACAAATGTCGTTACAACAACAAATGCAACAACAACAAGCAACAGGAACAGCAAAAAAATAGAATATGACGTTTTTCTTGTTTTATTATACCTTGATCAATTTCCTTTTTGTCCTTTTTTTAACAAAAATAAAAATTTCATATTCGTTGATATTATTGACAGTTCTTCTCTAGAGGATTTTTACTAAAATAAAAAAAGCTTATATAGAGTTTCTCCAATGCAGATAGATAAATTGTCGATGAATTAGTGCTAATTCTTAATATAATTATTAGGATAATATAATTTATTGTCACTTGTTTAAATATTACGCATTATTGTATACAAAGAAAGCAAAAAGCTAGAAAAAATCTGTAATAAACTTGTTTTAAATCATTTCAAAGTGACAGATTATTCATATGTGTGTAGCAGGATTTCATTGAGACTAAAATATTTTATGTTGCACTGATCTGATAAAAGACTTTTTCCATTCAAGCGCGGTTCAAGCCCATTATATAATCCGGATATTTATAAAACCGTGTATACTTAATGTTCAATACTTTTACTGACAAACTGATGTAAATATATTTCCAACACAATTTTTGAAGTTTGTATTTCTATGACTTCTATGACTAATTCTTGTTTATTTTCATGGTATTGTATAAACTGAGTAAATATGTTCATTTGGCTACAAATATGACAAATCGGTGTAAAATAGTTCTATGTAGTTTGACAAATATTAACATGTTATTTGTCCAGAACGTTAACTGCAGTACATATAATCTATTAAAACCACTTATAAGAGTAAAGAAACAGATATGAAGATCAGATTTCTTATCCTTTTATTATACCTAAAAAAACTTTGTTGATCCAATTAGTTTTAATAGATTTCTCGTACCAGGTAAACCCGCCACTTCACAAAAGAGGAGGTTGTATGTATAGTTTATATAGATTATTATTGAACATCATTACTTTTTACTTTTCTTCTATTAAAAACTCTTCTAATTTTTCTTGTTTTTACAGTGTCACTTGAGAAGAGTCATAGGTAAAAATTCATATTCACTGGTTTTTTCCAACTGGCAATGACTCATGATAGATCGTTGATCGTTAAAATTTTTCTATCGATCTAGTCGTATAAAAAGATACGAATTACGGTTTTACAATTACTAGAACTTAAAAATTACTAGGTATGTAGTTTATTGCTTTTTAATGGAGTGTTTTATTTAAAAAATACACATTTATGTGACTTGTTGATTTTCAGTATATATAGAGCATAAAACTACTACAAAATGCATATTTTAGATTTATTCGAAATTCATAATATTTATTTTAATAATTTTCGAGTTAGCGATGACTGCTAAGATCATTTAGAAATTTTCCGTAAGTAGAATGTATAAATAGACTCTCTTTAATAACTCGTCTTGTCCAGTTCGTCTCTAAAGCTAAAATCTCCAGTTTATCAAAGTCAGATGAGTGCTATGTTTTTATAACATGTTGGGCTACACTTGACGACTTTTGAATTTTTTGTATATCACGTTGGTGTTCTTTCATTCTAACTGTTCTTTTACTACTTGTTTATCCATAATGATATAGTCTTTACAAGAAATAGAATAGAATTTTGTTGATTGATTAATTTCTTATATCTTTTATTTTCATCGAATCCTTTTCGTAAGTGAAGATGAGAACAATAGACACTGCTTTAAGCATTTTGAGACGTTTCGTACTTTATTCTAAGTACAAAAATACTTTTTTTAATATAACACGTTTCTTGAATGGAATATTCACTTGATAAAACATTGAGAATATATATTTTTTTTTTGTTTTAGATATTCCCGATTATCTGTTCTCTCTCTTCTTCTTTTCGCTCCAGTCACATTTACAGATAATTCTTTTATATATATATATATATATATGAGTGATTCTGGTGAATCTGGTACCGTTTCATTGACGTTCTGGCCTCAACCCATTCTCCCTTTAAACTTAATGAAACTCTTCCAAATTTTTTATACATATTCTATGATATCATGCCTCTATTCATCGCTAATGTCTCTTTCATATTCATAACCGTTGATGTACAGTAAACATAATCATATGTTTTTTGTCGTTATTTTCATGGTGACTCTCACGTGTTCTCTTTCATAAAATTATTTTTTCTTCAGTCTTTTGCTGTAGAATTACATAGGTTTTTTTTGTTTCTTATAGCATTTTGTTGGCTCTATTCGTTTATACTATGATCTGTCTTTTCACTTGTTTCATTTTTGTAGACGTTAATTTCAAATGCGTGGTTCAGAAAAGTTCATTTAAATTGTCCTGTCACTAACTAGGCACTCTAGAGACCTTGTAAGCACTTTGATTTTCATTTTGTTGATCGAAGTTTGTCCTGTACCTACCTACTCTATACGCTATCTCTTCTAATGATGAGAAAGACGTTCTTTATTTACCATACATATAGTTTGGGATGTAGATAATTAAGTAAAAATATGAACGATTAGAATTACTTTATAAGAGAAATTTAAAAAATACCACTAAATGTCTCGTCACTACATTTTTCTTGTACTTTCATGAAAAGTTACTTAAATGAATCTAAATTTTTAGTATAAAGGTTTTAAAATATGGAGAATCTAATAGCATGCATGATTTGCTATATAGTAGTTTAAAAAAGGATTGAAATAATAGCTGATAAAAATGGTGTTTTAACGGGAAAGAAACTCTCAAATGATCTAGATGTTATAGTACATGTAAATTTTTTTAAATGGAAATACAAAGGTACAAATTTTATTTTCAAGAATTTTGTCAGTGGAAAGCTTATTATTCTTTTGTCATGTTTTCATTTTTATTTTTTTACAAAATACATTAAATAATCAAGCATCCGATAGTTTCTATGAAGAAAAAAGCTATTGGGTGTGAGATATGTATGACGCAAGATCGAGTGTTTTCTAAATTCAGAGAAACAAAGAAAAGGGTGTTTGCAGATCAACTTTTTCTAAGACTAGTAAGCACTTACTACCAATTTATGGTACCGAAATTAAAACTAAAATAGTACCAAATTAACCACAATCACTCATATACAATAGTCAATTTTTCTTTTCGTAGAAATCTAAAGTATACATTTTTTTAGCAGTTTCATACTCTGTATATACTGGTTTATTTTCTTCGGCTTTTTCTATTGAATTTTTGTTGATGTCTATTTAGATTAACAATCTAAGATGAGTGAAGCATTTAATGAAGATACGTAAGTTATACTGACGGATATTATATTTTTGAGGAGATAATAACTGCTTCTAATTTTCTACTTCTAGATCAGACTTGAACATTTCTGCGCCATACGACTTGCCAGGGCGCTATAAAGAAATTATTAAAAAGTAACGATTTAATTTTTTTAGGAGTAGGGATTTGAAAATCTATTTCATTGCATGTTTAGCTTAGTTAGAAACTATATTGAAATGTGGCTACCCGAAGACAAAACATATCCGAATTTGAAAACATTAAGTGAATCTGTATGCAATGAAATTATCAATAAGCTCTTCCGCATAAGTGACGATTTTTACAAATCAAACATCTGTAATAACGTGGGAGAATCATTTGCAATGAGGATCAAGAAAGAGAAAAAGCAATTGAGGGCATACGCGATTAGACGTTAGTAGAATATTAACTTGCAATTTACCTGTTTTAGCTTTTGTTTTTCGTTCAGATTTAGGGAAATTGCTTGACGAAGGGCAAGAATATATTCTTAAACAAACTAAGGAAAGTATGTCTGAAATGTGTGTGTTCGAATTCAAAATAGCTCATAATGGCTACTATGTTTCAGACGATGAAAGCAAAATTTTAATGACAGACGAAAATGAATATGATGATAATCAATGGCAAGTCAATAGAATGACAGACACTGCTAAAAGAATATGGTCAACATGGAAACAATGTGTACGAGAAATGCCTAGAGCTGGAATTATTCCAGTGTCAATAAGTGATGAAAAGGTATGATGTTGATAATTTTAAAAATTCTACTGTTTGCCTGTTGATTTAGGTACAAATTATTGTCCATTACAGAGATAACATTCCCCATTTTGGATATGCGAAAGGAAAACTAAATCGATACGAAACATTATTAGACTGCGCGATAAGAGAAGTAAGGATATAGTGTTTGTATTCGTTTGTATTATTACTACGCATATTTTTTATAGTATATCGAAGAATGTGGAGTTTCTGCTTTTACATGCCTCGTACCGGATGGTGACGTTATTGAGCGAAAGCTGACCAAATATAATAGAATACATTATTACTATATAATCAAAATACATTCAATAGAAGATGTGCAGACCTGTCCATTGAAGGGTGAAATAATGGTACAATGTCTTTTATTTCTCTAATAGTTAAGAATATATCAGAATTTCTATTACAGGAATGTCGATGGATTAGCATCTACAATTTACCCTGCAATGATCAACACTGTATTTACTCTTATACAAGTGGGGATTATTCAATGATCCGATGCTTAGACATTGAGGGAAATGATTTAACAAGGTAATAATCTAATTTTTAGATTTAATGATGTAAATATTCAATTTTTTATTTTTCAGAGTCATCTTAAAACGAATGGTAGAGAAAAGCAATTACTATTTGGATAAATATGATGAAATCCACAGAAATTGTCGAAACCGACAAAACTTTGTAATATGATCTACTAAATATAAAAGTCGATTTTATAGAACTTGATTTGGCTACTTGAAACATTGTCGATTTGGAATTTATACTATTTATATTTTTTTTTATGCTTAACAGAAACTTGCTCGAATTTTTTTGAACATATTGCTGAAGTACCTCATCCGCATTTTTTATTGTAATAACAAAAAAAATAAATTTATACTTTTTTTCGGCATATTTTTGGAAATAGAAATTTTTGCTAAAAAATGAAAAAAACTAGTTTACTAAATTTTTAGGATGTGTAGGATGTACGAAAAATTGAAAACGCTGATTGATGCGTACAGTTCACACTGAGGATAGTCCATGAGCTTGGGTAACATCAACGAAGGTCTCTCACAAGAGGAAAAAACGCCACTCCATTACGCTACACTAGTCCCACTGCAGTATTGATCTTGTAGTTTTCATTGGTAATGACTGAAATCACAAACAGCAGACGTCCTTTTACTGGTACCTGCCTGATCCAGTCCGATCGTCGTGTTTGTAGTTTAGAGATTATTGGACTGATATGATAAATAAGTTGCTCAGCTATCAAAAAATTAATTTTTTAAAACTTTCTCGTTAGACATGTGCAGAAATATTAAAGAATGGATAATATGACTATTTATCGATTTCCAATAGATTATTATATATTACGGAAAAACCGACACAACAAGCCATTATCATTAATGTAGTCGATTAGAAATATTTTATTACCACTCTGGAGAATTGTTAAATATTTCCACTACATGCAGTGGATATGTGGAAGAAAATCCATTGTAGTGTAGTGGTGCTTTATCCCCTTGAGACCTAAAGTAATGTATGTATAACCGATGTAACAGAAGAAAGTATCCTCTTTGTATTTCCGATCTTTCTCTTCTGAATCGATTAGTTTCACAGCACTTTCGTCATCATACCCTTTCGTCATCGAATAACGCTGAACTTTCGTCACATGACGAAAGATCTGTTTTCAGGGACAAAAGTTCTTTCGGCATGTGACGAAAGTTTAGTTATGCTTACAAGGTGGTTACGAAAGTTAACCCCTTTTGTGATGAAAGTGCGTTTTTGCTTGTGAGGAAAGTGTCTGGTTTTTTAGACAGGTGACACGGCACTTTCGTCACGCTTTGCATGAAACGGCTGCGATGAAATCAAGGTTGTAATGCAAAGTTCATTAGCCCCAAGTGTAGCAGTGCAAACTAAAATAATGACTTCTTGCTTCTTCCTTTACAAACATTGCATTTTCTTAGCGAAACGCGTAAAAAACCCTTTTGAAACCCTTTTCTAAAGTCAAAGTATCAAAATCAAGCATTTATTGCGTTTGGGATAGCTCGGTCTGGAGTAGTTCAAATGCAAGCAGTTCTTTTACAGTCCATAAGAATAGTATATTAACGTGAGAAAAGCGGCAAAATAAAGCATTCTTGTGCACATCAGAGACTGAAACAGGTCGGGTCGAGTTCGGTCGCGTTAGGTTCGGGCCACGTAAAAGATATTGATTCGAATCGAGTCGGGTCGGGTTCGGGTCACATTTGGTTGACCCATTTCGATTTAACTCAGGTCAATAAAAAATAAACTGCCTGAATTACTCAAACTTTTCCAATCATAAAAGGAAAAAATGACGGAAACCGTAAGGAATCTGATCATTTGTTTGGAAAAATTTGAAAACAATCTGACTAAGATAACTTTTCTATAGGAAAGAAGTGTTTCTTTGCGAATGTGTACGAAAACATTTTCTTGTTTCGGGCCTAGTTAGGATCACAGTTGCAAAATTTTCGGGTACGTTCGGATCGGATCGGGTTCGCGCCAACGTATAAGATATTGATTTGGGCCGGGTTGGAGTACATGAACTTTCGTCACACGTTATAACTCTTTATTTGCCGTTATATTATTAGCATGACGAAAGTTCTTTTTGGGTAGTGATGAAAGTTCGCGATGGAATGTGACGATAGTTGTAGGTATGTTACACAGTTGGTTGCGAAAGTTCACCACTTTTGTGACCGAAGTGTGAGGTGGTACTCCCTCAAAAATGCCATACACTTTCGTGACGAAAGTTATTTTTTCTATGTGACGAAAACTAACGTGACGAAAGTGCTATCATCCATCCATTAAAGCTGTTCATTTTTTTTTTGTTGCAGAAGATAGTCCGATGAATTTATCTACAAAAAGAATGTATTGAGTGTTTTATCTCATAATGTGAAAGTAAAAAAACGAAACGAATAATTCTGTCACGCTTTAAATGGCAGAAAATTAATTTTTTTTAACAATAAAGATGGAAGTCTTTTCTCAACGATTGTAAAAGTATCAAAATGCATTTAAATAAGGTTTTGTTTACTTTTAGAAATGCTGCTTTTCAACGTGTGTATTAAAATTTGTTTAAATCAAACCATACGATACAAAGATTGATTTCTTGAAATTCGAAACAAAGCAGCAAAAAGTTGGCTTTTGTTTTTGTTTCTTATATCAAAATAAAAACTTATTCAAATTTTTCGTGTTTGAGGGCGGTTTTTTCTATTCCACTCGTTGTCAAGAATTGAGTATTATATTGGTCTCAATTAATCTAAAAATTTTTTTAGTTTTTGATTAATTTCATATTTTTGTTCATCCATTTTGTGGATGTATTGCGTTTTTGACTTAAGCTCTGCTAACTGGATTAAGCTATATCTTCTTAGGCGAGGACGGACTTCAGCTTCTTTTTGTGTTGTATTGTTGACTGGAACTACCAGTGGATGTCGTTGTTGATGGTATTTAGATGAGAAAAGACTCTGTTCTAGTTCGCTAGTTCTTGTTGTCTGTATCCGACTTGTTAATTCGTTAACAGCTTCAGATATAGAAGATTTTTCAACATCATAATGTATTTTTGGTAAGCTTGACGATGCAAAGTCTCCAATACTGTGTCTCGGACTTGTACTTATTTTAATCTTGTTCAACCGAACTAAATCACGTTCAATATCTCGTTCATCGTTTTGTAAACATCGCAATTTTTGTCTGAAATTAAAAACGTAGAAAAGTGCAATGGTATTGTGACCTATGTGCAAGGATTGTCGAATGTCGTCACGATCTCTCTAGACAAAGGAAGATCTTTGTCTTGCGACTCTCGATATTGGTTCAGGGTTTTAACAAGTATTAGAGAGTCTTGTCGGTTTCGAGTAGGCTAACATCGTCGTTGTAGCGGAAAATCTTTGATGATGATTATCGATCGCTTTACTAATCATTCATTAACCAGAGCTGTAAACAAAACGCTAAACAGGCTTAGAATTCTTTCGCTCAATTTCTATCAATTGCTTGGGCTTCTTATCACATACTTACTGATCGCTTAACAGTAAAATTAATTAAGCGAGAAAATCTAACTACAGAAGTAGCTGCCGCTTCCACCTACAGTTAGATTAGTTAGATTAAAAGATAAATTTATCTAGCTTCGTGCTGATTGAAATTGTGTTCTAGTTGAAGCGGACGCTGCATCGACCGACTCATTAGACAATTTATTAATTCATTGCTCGATTAACCAGCAGTATCTGGCTACAGTCAATTAAAGCTAGATTCAATCTAGATGCAACCAGATGAAATTTCTATATATTTCACTGCAGTTAGGTTCAAACTAAATAAATGTACCTTTAATCTCGATAGGAGCGCCCGCTTTCAGGATATTTTTTCGTGGTTGTGTTGACAAGTTGTAGGGAGTAGTTAGAGGAACTGTATACCGTGCATCATAGCGTGGAGGTACGCTGTGAGGGCGATGATCAGAAGTATGCCAATACGAATAATTTTCTCGAGGCAGTTGAAATACGTGGCGAACAGTGTCATCATCAAAACACGATACCGTCTAATATCTCGCAGGACGATAAGAGAGAGGGTTTATATATTTGACGGTACAGATTAAGAACTTGCATAAGACGTACAAAAATCACACCGTAAAAATGGGTGTCTTAAGACAATTGAAAATGTCTTATGGTATCTTCGTGATTTATCTAAGAGAAACCAATCGCGATATGATACAGTGCGTGTTTACCTTCTCTGGACTATTACTATAGAAGAAAAAAACTCAATCTACATTGCTGTACTGTCATATTATAAGACAACAGTATTTGAAGTTCAATCTATAGACGGAAACATCACTTTATATAGGTACTTCAAAAATGTATCTTGAAAGTTTTAATACGTTTTTCAAAATACATCGTTGGTGTGCCAAAGCCTTAATGTGTCAATGTGTCTGATAAAATGCGTCCAACATCAATCCGTCATAGGTCTCAATAAAATTGAGATATCTGACGAGGGAACTATCCCAAGTGTTAATCACAGATGCTAACGAGAGGTACCCCAATCGATAGAGCTCGACGAGCTGATTCTAGTGGCATAAAGCATTTTTCCCAATGTTTCTTGAA